GAAACCCGAAATTAGAAATAGGGTCAAGTGATGGTTTGAATGGTTAAACTATACAAGTCAACGACAAGTTAAAAACATTGAATAAAACATCATAAAAATTAGGATCTATTTATATTCCATTTGAAACTAATAAAAATTAATTAGCCATAGTAAACATAATTTAGTAAGTTACTTAAATAAAGTAAAAATAATTATATTTTTTATTATTGATAAAAATAGTTTTTACTATTATAATAACAAATATTTTAATTGGTAACAAGGAAATAGATAAATTAAAAATTAATATCAATTTAAAATTATTAGTTTTGTAGTTAATTTTTTCCAATTTAAAACCAACTTAGTTTCTACTAAAAATAAAAACTTAATATGGTTAAGTAAATTTAATAAGGATTAATAAAAACAAACATTAATGAAAATTATTAATTTTAAATATAGTTTAATTAATTTATTTTAAATTCCATCTAAAAATGGAGAAATTGTACAAATCTCCTTGGGTTTTTTAATAATCCTATGAAACTCCCATATGCTTTGACCTTAACAAAACCCCCTTATTGTTGTGAAAAAAATTGTGCAAATACATTCATTTCGTTGCAAACAAAAAAGATGCTAATGTAATGCACTGATGAGTTATTTTTTAGATACCAATTTTACCCCTAACCAATTTCATTTACATACAATTTACTAAAATACCTTTAAAAAAGGAAAATTTCCCGATTAGTACCCTATACTCTGGGCCTAGTGCCATTTTGATCCCCGAACTTTAAAATGTGACAATTCAATACTCAAACTTTTAAAATGTGACAATCCAATACTTGTCGTTAACTAGTTGTTAACCAGCCGTTAATTGGCATTTGAAAAAGACACAAATACCCTTCAAATGTTATTTAATATTATTTATCAACCATCTAAACATTGACAAAAAATTAACAGTCCCAAATCTTTGCCTTTTCCATTTAAGAAAGTTGGGTTCACATTTGAGTGGGCATCTGGTGACCCCAACTTTCTTGAATAGAAGATGCAAGGATTTGATACTATTAACTTTTTGTCAATGTTTTGGATGGTTGATAAAGAAAATTAGATGACAATCGAAGGGCATTTGTATCTTTTTCAAATGTCACTTAACGGCTATTTAACAACTAGTTAACAACAAGTACTAGATTGTCATGTTTTGAAAGTTTGGGTATTGAATTGTCGCATTTTAAAGCTATGGGAACAAAGTGGCACTAGGCCAAAAGTACAAGGTACTAATCGATAAATTTTCCTAAAAAAATATTTGCTTCCTTTTACTTCACCTAAGCCTCTTTACCTTACATCATCCAAAAAAGAGTATAGAGAAATACTATTTGAAAGTTATTTGGCAAAATAAATTAGTGGAGGGTAAAGTCGAAACTTTAAATTGTGTCTGATAATGCTTTAACAATGATAAGGATATTTTAGTAACTTCAATGTCCTTGTTACTAAAGATCCAAGGGAAATGAGGTATTTACACTTTTTTTTCAAAAACTATAGGAGAGGCCTGTGTTAGGGTCAAAACACAAAAGGTGGTTTATATAATTGTTATAAGAGGAGTTTTTTTTTATAAATGTAACTAAAAATAATATGAAAACAATAACTAACCAATCAAAATTAATAAAAAATAACATTAAGATACAAAAAATAACATAAATTTATCTAGAGCATAAGAAATTGGCCACTATCATTAAAATACTACTTGGATTATAATCAGATAAACTAAACATAACCCAAAAAATAATACTTGAATTAGACTTGAATGGATACCGCTTAATTATAAATGTCTCTAAGTTATATCATTAATTTTGCTTATAAATAAAATCCCACACAGTTCTTGACTAGTATTAGAGTAGTAAATCTGTATTAGTTGCTCATTTCTCAAGTAAGCATCATATGACAATGTATCAAAGTACTAGATGACAAGAGAGAACATGATAATTATCAAACAAAAAAGCCTGTAAAATAAAATTGGATTTTTAACGGGTGAGACCCAACGGGCTCAATTAATTAATAACTAGGCTCAGGACCATGGTTTTTAAAACTAAACCGGTAAGGGGTCTGGTTACCGGTTCGAACAGTTTGATCGTTTGACCCAAACGGCCGGTTCGTTATGACAAAACAATAAAAAAAAATTAAAAATCTTGAAAAACGGTCAAAACCATTCGAATGATTAATTGGCCGGTTCAGCGGTTTGCTGACCAAAATCAACGGTTTTGGGGGAAAAGCGGGTTTGGGGAAAAATAGAACCGGTTAGGTGACCGGTGACCGGTTTTTCCTATCCGACCGGCCAATCCCAGTCCGGTTTTGAAAACCATGCTCAAGACAATTAATTAATTAACGGGTCTATAATTTTATATGGACCCGATAATCATGTATTTGAGAGACATAAAATTGTTGGCATTTTGTTGATCAAAATGACAAAACTATCCCTTGCAAACAAAAACTATGCACACACTCTGCAATCCCAAGAGATGAAGCCTTAAGACTCAGGTGGTGTTTGGTGGGCACACGAAAAATGTTTTCTAGTGGTATCTTTAAAATTTCAAAAATTCAAAAACTACCCCACATTCTCTCAATCCAACCATAAAAACCTTTTTCGCTTTTTACCATTGTTCTTCCACTCCACATCAATGGCGACCGACGAGCTTGGTCGGTGTTCAAGCTTGAAAAAAAAAAGTAGAGGTGGATTATTTTTTAAACTTTTACATTGTTGTTCTTCCATCGTTCTCCCAATCCTTTTTTTTTCTTCATTGTTTCACTATTTTCTTATGGTTAATGTTTTGAAAAAGTAAGGACAGGCCCAATGCAGATTACTGAATTGCACCGCAGATCTATAAACATACAAAATGTTTTACATTAATGCCCGTTCGTAAATTGGCATCAATTCAAAGCTGGCACCAATCCCAGCTGAACCATCATACTCCCGTTAATGTTTTACAAACACCTACATTGCAAGTCAGTCGAGGCATGTTTTGTTGTCTTTCTTCCACAAAGGCACACCTATTTTGCTATGTTATTTAAAGATATTTTATTTATAGATTAATTTCTTCTAATAAGCACTTAAATAAGCATTCGTGACTATTTTGTCTTTCATTTTCTTTAAAATTTTCAAAATATACCCTTTGAAAGAACTTTTAAGAAAGTACTTTTATAGAAGCATTTTTACAAATGCACTTTAATAAAATTACTTTTATGAAAGCACTTTTACAAAAGTAATAAAAGCACTTTTATGAAAGCACTTTATAAAACATAAAAGTGCTTTCACAAAAGTACTTTTTGTATAAGTGCTTTTATAAAAGTGGTTTCGTAAAAGTACTTTTGTAAAAATGCTTTCCTAAAAGTGCTTTTATAAAGTGATTTTGTAAAAGTACTTTTGTAAGAGTGCTTTTGTAAAAGTACTTTTATAAAAGTGCTTTGTAAAAATGCTTTCATATCGTAAAAGTGCTTACATAAAAGTACTTTTATAAAATTCAACTAAGGATAATTTTGTAAGTGGTATTTTAAAATTCAACTAGGGATAATTTTGGAAGAAAAAATTGAATAAGTACTTATGAGCACTTAAAATACTATGCAGTTCCATGTATGTTTGATATTTTAATGACATTGCTATGTCCTTGTAATGTATTCCTATGATGTTATTTATTTATGTTCCACTATCTATTTTTGTTAATAACCAGTATTTTATAGAAATCGAAAACTCTTTAACCATTTTTTACAAAATTGAGAATTATAGTTAAATATTATAAAAAAATATCCATTGCTAATGTTTTAGTAAATAATTATCAATAAATATTTATTCTTAATAGTTATTATGGAAATTTAAAATATCAATAATTATTCAAAATTTATAGGAAATTGCAAATTATAGTTAAAAATTGTCATTTATGGAAATTATCAATTGCAATAATTGTACAAAATGATCAAAAGTAAGAATATTCGCCAAAGATAACTATTCAAAATGTTATTAAATAATTATTGAATAATTGTTGTTGTTAATTATTTAAAATAATAAAAAATACAGTTAATTATTATTAGAAATAATTATAATATCAAGATAATTATTCAAACATATTTCAATTTCCTCAATATGTAGCCAATAATTGTTGATAATTATTCAAAATAATTAAAAACTATGTTTGATAATTAAAAATAATAATTATAATATCAAGATAATAATTAAAAAAATAATCAAATCTCCTCAAAATGTTGTAAATAATTATTCAAAATTAATTTCCTCATAATGTACATTTGGAAAAAGGTAATCAATGTTTAAGATATTTATATTGGAAGATAAAATATTATGATTTTTGGAATTTTGGAAAAGAAAATTTTCGATTAACAAGTTTTGGAAAATAAAAGATAAATTAGTGTAATTTTGTAAATAGATTATTTACTAACAATTTAAACATATATTTCAATAATGTTTTTTATAAACTATTTAAACGGATAATAAATTATTAAATAGCAATTTATAAATGAATTTCAATAAAAATTAAAATTACATAAATATAATAAAATTTTCATAAAATTATATTATAGAAAATTAAAGATAATTTTGTGTACTTTTGAAAATTTAAAAAGTTGTATAATTTTCATTGTAAATTATTATTTTTGCAATTTCTAACCAAATTATTTATTACATTTTCGGGAAATTATTTTAGAAAATTATAATTTAAACCAATAATTAAACAAATTATTCCTTTACATAAATTAGTATCTTTTTCATAAGGTTTTTCCGTACTTCGCACGATCCCCACTAGTACAAAATACAAGGTTTTGCACACTACGTATTTGTATTTGTACAGTTGTACTCCTCCCAATTGAGCGTGAAAAGTTATTCCTTATGTCATGTTACGTACATGACAATCACAGAAGAAATAATCAGTGTTAAAAAAAAGAGCGCGAAAAGTTATTCCTTTACCTACCATTTATTTGTATTTTTAGTATTGATTTATTAGTATAATTATAATATTCTAGTGAAGCCCTTACAAGAGCAGACAGCAGCTGCATAAAACTACAAACGGTCTGCCGCGTTTTATCTTTTTATATCTCTTTCGGCTTCCTTCGGAAGGAAGCAAAGGAGCGAGAAGAAGCGGGAGCTCCCCTCCGTCATTGATTGTAAAATCGTCTTCCAGAACCCTAGTTTGAAGTGAGTTCTTCGCTTAGATTGCAGACTTCGATTGTTTCATTGTTTTTTATTGCTTGTTCTCATCGCCTTGGATTGAATTGGACTTTAGTACTACTACAATGTTGTCTCATTGTGGATGCTTTATTATTTATTTGAGAAACTCATGAATTTCATCTCGTGGCGTTTACATTAGTTTAGTTTAACCTCCTTTTGTCCTTTTTTTGTCTGTTTCCAGGTGGTTTGGATTGATTGTATTTGTTATGATATTCTATCTTGATTGCCTTCTGTCTTTCCAGAGAGCTTCTTTCCCTAGCTTTTTGTTTAATTCTTATTTTGTTAATAGGATTTGTTATTCACTTCGAAAGATTGCTCAAGTATCCGTGGATTTGGGGTTTATTCCTTTTATCTTATTTTGACTGCAAAAGCATCGAGTACGTAATCTGCATTCAATCTTTTTTCTTAGATATTACTTCATCGCTATTCAAATTTTCTGTTTGACGACTACCATTCTTTTTAAGACTTTTGTTATTTTGTCTATTTCTTTATTTGAATCATTTTTCATCTTTTGTAATGTTGGTCTTCATTCTTACCTCACATTGACTGCGTATGCATCTGTCTCCATGACCTGCCTCTGATTTTTTGTATCGGATAGCACCTCATTATCAATGAAATGATACGTTTTTCCTCCTCATTTCTATTAAATCATTTATACATTGGCTCACGAGTTTATAGGTTCTTTGTTGGCTTTGTTCTTCAATACATTTGCTTCTTAGTACCTTACCGTGAGTCTCAGTCAAGGATTTAAATTTCAATTTTTGGCAATGTCTTGGCATGGTTTGGTATGAAAATTTTATGGACATTTTGGTGGAATTTTGAGATCCAATCGAATTTTCATAAAGAAAAAAGAACTCTTGAATAAATCAACTAAACAATATTCATTTTATCAGTTATTTCTTTTGTTCCTTTTTTTCCTCAAAATTGATTTCTCTCTTCTTTCACATCTACTATATTTATTCCTGTTTTCTCTGTATTATACCAAGATCAAGATCACAGAAATTTCTTAGCCCATGTCTACCTCTTTTTGGTTATTCCTGGAATCAGAACAAAAAAAACCAGAATTTCAAATATTCCTACATAATTTGGATCCTTGACATTGTTTTAACCAAGTTGGATAGTAGTTATTAAAAATTAGGTTTCACTGATTAACATTGAGAATTGTGGAGATTCTCTAAGGGTTTTGTGCAAATGGAGAGAGTTGGGGTTCATGTTTAATGGAGACTTGGTCATTGTGGTTAGGGACTATAGTTTTGATGCGAGAGTCAGGATCCAGGAATTTGATTTTAGCTTTCTTTCACTGAGAAGTTTGTCCCAAAGGTTCTGAAAGGACAAGAAGGTTGAAAAAGGAAGCACAAGAGAAGAGGTCATTAGGCAAGGGAGACCAAATTCTATCATCTGAAGAGTTTTGATCCAAAATGACATTTTCTAGTTTTGATAGTAGGAGAACAAGGGAGTACACATCCGAAAGTTAGAATTACTAATTTTAACAAGATACACATGTTAAGTGGATCTTCCAGGTTAGAATGTTTGATAACAAAGTTTCAATTTCTAGGTTAGTTTTGCAGTTATAGAAAGATATCATTTACCTTCTAACTATGAATTCCTTTGATTCCTACCAACAATGGTTTATGCTTAAGAAATTTGATTTGTCAATTATTGCTGTTCAAATGTTATTTGAACTTTTCATTAGCTGTTTTAATTCCTAACTATTATCTGACTTCCTATTTTCCTTTGTGGCATGAAGAACATCTGCAATGGAGAGATCTAGTTCATGCAGTTTAGGGAATGACGATGAGGGAAGAGCCTTGGAGATATTACTTGATGCCTTTGGTGCTGTATTCTCTCTAAAAGACATAGCTGCAGCTTACTGCAAGGCAAAAAGCGATGCAAATAAAGCTGCTGAGATTCTGGTTAATTTGCAAGGAGATAGTTCTGATACTTTCGTACATCCACTCAATAATGGTTTGAGAGATACAACATCATCAGTTTCATCATCAGATGATATTTCTGAGAAGTTGACTTGTGCATATAAGGATTCCAAGACATCAAAGCCAAGAAGATATTCTGCTTCAATGGGTACTGTTTCAAGTGTCATTGGTAAAGAATATATTAGGCCCACACAAGTGCAGAGTGAATCTTGCAAAGCCACCAAACCGCTGAAATTGGATTCCAAGGATTTGCCAGAATCTGAACTTTGGCAAGAAGATGGTAGCTCTTCAACAAATGAAACAATGCATAAGGACATGGAAGAGTTTCTGTTTAGAATACTTGGAGATGGATTTCAGCTTCGTAGGGATGTTATTCAAGAAGTTCTTGGTAAGCCATCATTGTCTTATTATATTTTGAGTAGCTCACTTGGGACTATTCAAAAAGGTGCGTGCCTTTTTAAGCAAGGCGCAAAAAAATTAAAAAAATCTAAAAAATAAAAAAAAATGTAAAAAAAATAAAAAAGCCAAAAATTAAAAAAATGCAAAAAAATCAAAAAATTATTAAACATAATACTAATAAAAATATAACTGATATTTTAGAATCATTTTTTTAAAAAACCTATTATCTAAAATTAAAATACATAAACATAACATGTAAAGCATATTCAAATGAGAATTTAAAAATAAAATCAAACATATAAAACATTTTCAAGAATATAAAACCCATAATCTCTTTTCTTCTCAATTACATTACTTCAAGTAGCTAATGTGGCATATTACATTCCTGATTCTACAAGCCGCCTTTGTGCCACACCCCTCGAGGCAAGCCCAAACAAGTCCATGTTAGGGTCTTAAATTCTTAGATTTCACACAAAAAATAATGATTTTATAGTTTTAATTGCTTTTTAAGAAGATGTTTTATTAGAATGAATGACTGAACAACATTACCAAATAGGGGGTTTTGGTTCTTGTTTGAACATAAGATCTATGCTTGTCATATATGTACACACACATATACATATACATATACATATACATATACATATACATACATGTATATACATACAAGTTCAGCATTGCATTATAACAATAATGTTGTCATTTATATAAAGTATCATGGTGTGTAATGGTTAATAACTAATCAAATTGGAAATGCAGGTCTTTGTGGATATGACATGGAAAAGGTATTACATATATTCTCCTTGTACCTAGGATTCATTTGTTTTCTGACCGGTAAGTAGTCTAGATTCATTTCATATGTTATTCATATAATGAGTTGAGCATGAGCACAGAAATCTTTGGACCATTTAATGAGGGATTTCTAATTACAGTATGTATCTTGTTTAGACTATTCATTTGTGTTCTTCAGTCACATATTAAAGGTGAATGTTAGAAATAATGAATGATCAAGGTTATAGAAAGATTAGTTATGCTTGGAAGTAATTTTTCTCTGAATCAGTGCATAAGTTTGGTCTCCACCAGCTTGGTTTACTTGGACGACTGAGCTTAGCTGGTCTTGGGATGGCATCCTCCTCCCCTAGATACAGATGAGCCAGCTTTGCAGAGAACTCCAAGCTTAATCTAAACTTTGGCTTCTTTGATATAAGCTGGGTCTTGGCTGAAGTTTCTTATTATTTATTTTAAATTAAGTGCAGGTATGGCCTGGACTATTGAACATAATCTAAACCAGGCCAGGCTTGGGCTAGCATAGTGTCACGAGCAGGTTGTGGTCCGCTGTCGTGGTTCTTGTACTGGCTTATAATCTTAATAATGTAAATTTAGCATCTCATTTGTATTTTTTATTAGCAAAGAATATTTATCAACATGAAATCTTTATTTATTCTATTTTCTTAGATTGATTATGATACATCTAATTCTTATTTGTTGTTTTTCAGTTGAAAAAGTTCAATTCTTTTTTCACTTTGATTTTATATAACAAGTTTGAATTTTTTGGTGAAGTACATATTAATTTTCAAATACTTGGTCTGTGTTGAGTAATGATGTTGTTTAGTTAAGGAAGCACAATAGGCAAAAGGGTTCTTTTTTTAGTGGAGGGGTATTGAGTGCAAGGAAACACCTTTTAAATTAACAGTGGCATGCTTTGAAGCAATTCTCTTCTTCTCATTTAAAATTGTTGGTAAGGAAGTAATAGATGTGTGGAATTTGCCTTATATGCTCTTGTTTCTATCCAGGTCATACATGGCATGATACGTGCCACTTCTGGTGAAGGGAAGTTACTAATATTTGAAGCCCCAATATGTCATTTTGTCAAAAATTAAACAACCTCTACACATGAGGGGCATCTGTGGTAAAACATGAACTTCTTTCTAATAGTAGAAAACTGCTGAATCAAAGAATCTGTAAAGAAAAGAGAAATTTCTTGAAGAATAAGAGAAAGAGTGTTATGGGCCTGGGAATAGGATTTCGTCACGGGTCGGTTCACGGGGAAAACCTCCTGTTTTCCCTTGTTCCTCCCTGCTCTTGATGAACCTATCTTGGCGCCTTAATGGTGATTTGTCCAAGAGATCACCTAACTCTCCTTGCTCTCTTTCTTGACTGAAATTTTCGATGGTTTTATTCAATATTCTCAGCTCCTTAAATAGGAGATTACAAGAGATAGGAGTCCTACTTTTAGGAAGACTCCTTGCTAATTAGGAAGACTCCCTACTAATCTATCCTACTGAACTGATAATATAAGATAAGATAAGACTCCCTTAATCTATCCTACTGAACTGATAAGATAAGATAAGACTCCCTACTAATCCATACTACTGAACTGATAAGATAAGAACACTGAATAGATAAGACTCCTACTAATCCCTGCTACTGAAAGCAGATAAGTTAAGAATACTGAATAGATAAGATAGGATGAGAACACTAAATTGCTGTTGCTGAGAACACTAAATTACTGCTGCTGCTGCCGGCACCCACATCAAAGAGAAGAGAAGAAATTGAGAAAGAAAAGGAGAGCAATCAGTTCTGGTCGCCCTCCTCACTAGTATTTATACTTTTAATTAAAAAAGGGTACAGTGACTAATATGCCCTTATAGGGCGCCTAACACATAAAACTGCATATATAACTCAAAAGAACCACTGCATATATAACAACAATAACTACTAAATCTGCACAAATCTGCCCAAAAACCTCAACACTAATAAACCCTTGTGGACCCTTTGATACCTGCTAGGCTTTTGGTCTTTGGTTTTTTTCTTCCTTTTTCTTTTTCCCAGGTTCCCCTTCAGTGAAATTCTTTTTTACAAGAAAAGATGACTTGGTGTTTGCATAGATTTAACTTTCCAAAAAGTACAATATGACTTGGTGTCATCTTGGTAGAACATTCTTCTTACTGCTCCTTAAACAATCAAGACAATGGAATAAATGCCAGAGGATTGATTTCATTTTGTCTTAAAGAATTAACCCAAGTTACTCGAATTTTTTTTTGCACATTCAACTTGTAATAGTATGTTCTTTGTCATAAATGTGTGGTACTGATACTTTCTAGCATTTAAGTAACCTGTATCTTCTCAATTGGTTAAATGTGTATGCCATCTTCACTCTGCACCATGACCAAAGTATCACCAGTTTCTTCTAGACAAATAAGTTTGTACTTTCATTTACTTTATTTGTTCTAACTCAGTTAATAAACACCTTCAAGGTTGATGCCTCTAATCTTTTCATTTAGCTTACAAATTTTGAAATGTTTTTTTTTTTTTTCTTTTCAAAGAAAATTACATATTCTTTGAGGAGAGTTAAGAAAGTTTGCCTCTCCTGTTCTTGTAATTACCGTGCTTTAAAAGTCTTCTAATGAAATTCTGTTATTGATAAAAAAATACATATTGTCAACTTCTGATGTGGATGTAATTTATGAGGTGAGTTTTTCTGATTTTATGAATTTCTTCTCCATACAGAGCATGGAGAAATTACTTGATATGTCAACATCAACTTTGGAGAAGAATGATGACATTATTGGTGTGTCGGCTGTAAGGGTAAGTTTTGAGTTTCAAATGACTGCAAACTGTCTCATGCTTATTTTCTGAAGTAGTTATACTTTATCACAATAAAATCTCTGACTTTGCCTTCTTCGAAGGACTAGTTCTTTGTTTGTTTCTCTTTGCAATTAAATGTCACTTATAAATAAATCAAGGCCATGAATAGGGATATCTATTCAAAGTAATCATGTGTAGATAGTTAACAAGTCTGAAGAGTTGTGATTTTCTGATTGGATAAACAATTGTGTTACCATTGAGATCTTTATAGGAGATATGGACTGGACTTAAGGCATTTAAACCCCCATCCCCCACCCCCAAAAAAAAATCTGAACTTGAGGTTTAAAAGAATGAGTGATGGAATCTTTTCTTATTTCCAGGACCTGGCATATATTGAGTAGTGGATATGCCAAAAAATTTGATTTTGCATGACAACTATCAAGATCAATATGGGGTAGTAAACAATTCATTTTCACGCTTAGATGCGATTTGCATGTGTACCTGAATTATAAATGTCACTAATTTACCTATATGCTAGAAGAATGATATAGTCCATGAGATATGCATATATTAAGTAAAAAGAAAAGCAGTAGCTATATGACAAATTTAAAGATTTATCATCACTGAATGATTTTATAGGTTTACCTTAGCTAATGTGGAACTTGTTTCATGTGTTAATATTTTAGTAAGTGGTTATAATTTTCAAATTAAATATACAAGCAAAATATTGGTATTGGTACATTGAACCTGAAAATGTCAATGCAAAAGGAAACATTGCATTGAAATAATTGAGAGCATATAATATTCAACTTCACCTTGAAAACATTTGTCAGTTAGATTTGTGTGTGTGTTCCTTACAGAACATGAGCTTGTCTAGATTGAGCTATGGACCTGCAAAGTTATTCAATGATTTTTTATATGATAATAAGCAAATGTGATAATTGTTTGTAGCTGTTTGCGCCCTTAACTTTTCACTGTTATACCAGTTCTATTTTCTTATTTAAGTTTATCTTCCAAGTTGAAGGATAATTGTTCAAAACCAGAATTTCTCTCCCATGAAGAAAAATTGAAGACTGCGGATTTTGCACAAATGTAAGTTTGTCTGCATTTGTTAGGAACTTTTGGTTGGAGCTGGGTCTGGTATTGGGTTAATGGCCTTCTTTTTTTTTCTCAATCAAAATATTAGTATAGATGATTTTCTTCCTTTTTAATGTATTGTAGAAGGTCAAACTTGCTTTTTTCTCCTATTGAGACAGTGACAGAGCTAAAATTTCAAATGCAAATGGAGTGGAACCACATTATAGAGACAAACAAAGATATGATCTTCAGAAGGAAGTGCTAACAGCATTGTTTACTGTTCCTGAAAGACCTGAAGAAGTATCAAGAAGAGCCCGCCCACCAAGAGCAGTGAGGGGCATGAGAGGAACTAGAAGAACTGTGGTAGTTGAACCTCCAAGTGACGCACCTGGAGAACATTCAACTAGAATTGTAGAATTGCAACAAAACACTGTTGAAGGTATGTCCTTAAACAATCATAGCTGTGAAGACACACACACACACAGTAGATAGTGCTTATTAAGTCATAAATGAGAACATGTTAAACAGTAAGCATCATTTTATGTTTTCTTTTTTGTGTTTTATATGAGAGAAACCACTTTGTGCAAAAAAGAAAAAAAAAAGCGAAGAAGAAGAAGCCAAAGGTTAGGACTGTATCCAGTCTACCCTTCCCATGACCCCAGAGATATCTGGGGCCAACATTGGGTAATGACCTTTTTTATGATTTTCTGATATGTAATTATCTCCGATATGTTTGAGAAAGGTTTTTTTATGCAAGGTTTAAAATGTCGATGTCAGTGGAAATGTCGGTCATCCAAGTATAAGAAACATGTTGGAAATGTTGGAAATAGCGTATGGAAATATTGTAAAAATTATAGACATGGTAGAAACATTGTAAAATATGCAAAATATAGAATGATATTTTATGAAATGATAAATGAAGCATAGGCACACCTTTTTAAATTATTATCTTGTTTCAAATCACTAAACAAAGCTATGAAACTAAGGTTATAGACAAAAGAGTATGTTCTGAAGTTGCCCTGTAAACCATTCAGAGCTTTATGCTAGAATGAGTTAAAAGTAAAATTTGAACTCAGAAAATATACATGGTTGTAATAGATCAACCAAATAATCTACTACACAAACAAAAACTAATATTTAACTACATGTTTGAAATGAATATTGAGCTAGCTTGAAATTGTCATCATGTAAGTTAGGTGGACAATAACTTGTTACTTCACATGTCTACAATATTGTCACCAACTTATGTTATAATACTATCTCTTGTAAGTTAGGTGGACAATAACTTGTGTTCACTAGGGAATGTGTCGATTCTAGTAAAATTTCATGTCGCTACCCAAGAAAGTGGAAATGGAAATACGTTGTGGAAACTATCTCTTGTACTCTACATAGTTCTATTAGTGTTCATTGGGGAAATGTTGATTCTAGTAAAATTTCGTGTTGCTACCCATGGAAATGGAAATATGTCGTGGAAATATTAGGGAAATTAGGGACATTTTAAACCATGTTTTTTGACCCATTAAATGCATTTTATTTTAGGTTGTGGTTTGCCTTAAAATTTGGTTGGAGCCAGTGTTTTAAAAGGCATGGGAGGTGTATGTCTGGAGGCGCGCCTCCAGGCGGGGCACTCCCAAAATGCCCTGAGGCGTATGCCTCTTGCGCTTTTTTCATGAGGCATGCTAGAGGCGCACACCTCATGCACCTCATGCACATCTTATATAAAAAGACAAAAAAAAAGAAAAAAGAAAAAAGAAAAAGAAAGAGAATAGGAAAGAAAAGAAAGGAAAGGGAAAGGAAGGGAAGAAAAGATAAGGGGAAAGAAAGTGGTTTGCCACTTTGCCCCCTGCCCCTTTGGCTGGGGGGTGCGAGCTCACTTCGCTCGCTCACCTCCACCTCGACAAGACCCCCCCTTTCAACTAATATTATGCATCTTTATTCTTCTTAAAATAAAAGATTTTTATTAAAAATAAAGAAAAAATGAGATCCCCCTTCCTCTTCATCCTCATCCTAACCCCCCTCCTCTTAAGGAGGCTTACGCCTCTTGCGTTCTAAACTATGCCTCACGCCTCTAGGTAGCAGAATGCCTCACGTCACGCCTCCGCGTTTTAAAACATTGGTTGGAGCCTATCCTTTTTCATTTATTGTCCATGAAAAAAGTCCCTATCTCTTTTTATAATATTTTCTTTATGCTTCCATGAATCCATCACACTGTTTATAGGCATCAACTGAAGTCTTTCATTTTTCTGTTGCATATACAACATTTAATCAAAAAAATCAAAGTACCAAGATTTAACTCAAGCCATGTAATGTTCATCCAAGAAAGTTTCATTTTCAAGTGCCACTAAAACAGGAAAATTTGTGGAAATATTTCGGTTCAGTGGAAGTTTACAAACAACCATGAATGTGCTCCATTGTGAAACTGCATTAGAAAATATCCTCATTGCTTTTACGTTACTTTCATGATTTCCCTTGTGAAACATCCAAAATAACAATGAGGTTCTCAAATTTGCTAATGCTCTATTATGAATTATGCACCCTTGATCCTTTTGAAAACCTTATAGTCCTTCAAGCTCAAATTTGCTAATGTCCAAAACTTAAGCTTAAACTTTGTTTATTTTTCAATATAAAATTGAATTTTTTATCTTCAAAAAAAGCTTAAATTTTCGGGTCCAACTCTTGAAAAAGGAGTAAAGGACAATTGTTAAAGATAGATATCCTCATAATGAGCTTTTGCATTCCTGAAAAGTTCGAATTTGAGTAAAAGATGACAATTCTGAGAAGGCAATTGCATCTCCCAAATCTAATATTCAAAAGTAATGAAAGAATGTGAATAAGCAAATGGTTTGACTCTCTAAGGAGGTGCGCCACTGTTCTGTTGATAGTATATGCTTTCACTTGTTGCAAAGTATCCTTTTTTTGACTTTCTTGCTACCTTTTTAGTGTTTCTATATCTTATAAATTCTTCTAGATAACACCACCATAGATGAGGAGGATAGCTACGAAGTCCTTCGTAGAGCTGTTAAGGAGTATTGGGTTATGATGAAGGAATATTATAGAGCTGTAAGTAGAATGTTTTCAGAATTTTTTGTTGCCAGAAGTTTTCTTCTTAATACAGAATGTATTTCATGTTTGCAGTGCTGTTACATCTATGTGAAGAAACAAAGTTGATCTTTATCGTCTTCAAGTTTAGATGATGTGCACTGATACTATTATTTAATTTACAGGCTGCTGATGCATTTGTAAAGGGAGATCATGCTCAGTCTAATGCTCTTCTAGAGCGGGTACTGCTGTACTGCTTCTATGTCATAAACTTTAATGAATTCTTGCGCTTAGATGAATGGTATTAAATGATATGTTTTTATGTTTAAATCAGTCAAATTACATTTGCCTATGTCTTTGATTTCAATTCCCTGCTTTCTGAACCCTTTTAGCTGAAGGTTTTCACATTATTCGCCTTGTCACCTTATTCTGGCTTCCATGATTTTCAGATGTGCCACTTAACAAAGGCACATGAATGATCAATTCACAAAAGGAGTAAGCAGATGGAGTTTTAATCCAGTGTCTGCTAAAACTTCTCATTACTTTTTTGGTGGGATGGAGATACTGATATTTTTTGTCTACTATAAATATCTCTAATTTTGGGCTATATCACTTGATGCTGATATGACGTACCAGATGCTTATTTGAAATCCCAGGCATCACATGGTACTACATATTTCATATAATGTAAGATTCATTCTAGAGATGGTTTAATTGCATGTAATCAGCATAGAAAACATATTCTACAGGCAGCTGAGTTGCTTCCTAGAATTTTATACATCATTTGTGCATTCTTTAAGTGTGCATACAATTAAGTTGTGCTCATGCAGTATCCAGTATGAGTATTATTATCATACAACATTGAAACAGATTTATCGAGTTCAGGTGTCATAATCCAATGTGAGTGTTATGGAACTGGAAAGAATTGAACAGGCTTTAAACTGAATAGCTTTAGTAATCTTTGATTTGGGGAACCAATCTGGCATCCTTGATGATCCCACATCCCCGCCCCCCCAAGTTTTCACTTTTGTTCCAATCCAAACACAGCATAAAGGTTTGGCAGATTCATTTCAGGAATCACTTTTGTTCTTTGTACAGCATAAAGTTTGGCAGTTTCATTTCAGGAATCACTTTTGTTCTTTGTATTCTTGATGCTTCTGTGTTCTCTACACACAGAGGGGGTCAGGCCCGCCAAGAGGAGATAATATGAAACCTATTTGATACTTATTTATTTTCCTTTGTTTTGTTTAGTTGTATGTTTAGGAAAAGCCTTCATTAATGTAGAAAAGTCCTGACTTAAAAAGTTACTCTCTTCACTCTAATTGCTTTCTAATTTAAAAACCAATTGTAGTCTTGTTATGAGTTGGATGATTGACCCTAGTTGTCTGTTAATTTTTTTTACTTAAATTGTTTTTGTCTTCCCTTGTTTTTTTAGTTCTACTATGTATAGGAAAAGCCTTCATTAGTAGAAAAAGTCCAGACTTAAAGTTTACTTTCTTCACTCTAGTTGATTCCTTATTTGAAAAATCAATCTTAATCTTGTTATCAGTTGGATGATTGAACCTAGTTGTCTGTTGACTCTGTTCTATATAGGGCTCTACATTTTAATCTAGAATGATCCCTTTTTTGATGGATTAAATATAATCAAGTGTATTACCTATAGTTTCTTGATATCTAGTTTAATAATCTTGAATGTAGAATTTCACAAACCAGAAATTTCTTTTTATTCGTTGCCATGATTTAGTTTTAAATTAATAAAGGAATTGAATTTTCTTCGTGGGTTGCACTTGGAGGACACTAAAAGACATGATGAGGCCCACAAAAAGACACAGTAAATAATGGTTAATGTACTTTTTGGTGGACCCTACTGGGCTACCATGTTCCACCTTGCTAACATCTCTCTCTCTCTCTCTAGACATTTACCTTTTTTCATGAACTGTAGAGAACACTGATGTGGGCCCCACGGCTGTGGTCCCCACGGCTGTGGTCCCCACTGTGTTCATATGACAGCACAGCATGTACTCTTTGTTAGTTATGTCAGTGTTAGTTGGTAGTTATTTCAGACAGCTTGTTATTTCAGCTTATTATTAGTTTATTTGCCATGTAAGCATTAAGGGCAATTCTGCCTTTTCTACAATTAGCAAACATATAAATATTAAGAGTGGGGCGGCAGATTCAATTAATCAGTCCCTCTCTCTCTCTCTCTCTCTCTTTTCTAAAACCCTTGTGTACTTCTGCTTCTCCTTCTTTTCTTCTTCTCTTTTCTCCATCTGAAACCTTTTTACTTTTAGATTCAAGACTGATTGTAGTCTTGATCGACTACTTGCTATCAGAGCCAATCTAGGGTTTCTCATGTGTGTCTAGTCCAGCCGACCACATGAGAATTGCCTAGGGCTGGAAGCTTAGAAAGAACTGTTCGTTGGCTGATTCTTGGAGGTTACCAGAAGGGTTTAGCAGCTGTCCAAAGGCTTGTAGAGGCTTGGAGAGTGTTTTGGTAATCAGGAAGAATCAGAGAAGGTTAAAAGGATCAATATTAGGGTTCAGGCCAAGATTGAAGGTGGCAATCAGAGTTTTCTGGGTAAGTTTTTATCTTTCCTTGAGATCATCATCAGTCAAAGATAGGTTGGACTTATCTAGGAGGAGCGGCTGAGCTCTCCTTTATTTTCTCAGAGGCGATCAGAGTTCTCTGATTTTTTTTTAGGGTTTGTCCTTAACCCTACTACCAGATTTGACTGTGAGCCTATTTGGAAGGTGCGGCTGAGCACTGTTTCTGTTCTCACAAAGATTTCCTTAACCCTACGATCAAACCCTAAATTTGTTTCAGCATTCCGGATTGTTTTCTAAGTGAGTTCTAGACTTGTTTTGGCTTCAAAGCCTGTTTTGGGGGTGAGAACCTTTATCAAGAATTGGATTGCTTATATTCAGAACTGTCGATTGGTTTCAGATCACATCCGAACTGAGTTCATACAGAATTCTGTTTCCCTTGTTGTGGAAGACCTAGGCTGACTGTGATCAGTTGTTTAAGTGCTGTTTTCTATTACAGTAGCTCTAACAATTTTGATTACTGATTCTTAACCAAGAATGGAGTTCAAGAATTAGGGGGAAGGTGTTTTTGGGACTAGCAATTCTGGTAATATGTCTGAGACTGCATTTCAGATTACAACTGTGAGGTTTGATGGATCCAACTACTTAGAATTGGCCCAATCGGCCATGATGGCTATTAGGGGAAGAGGAAAACTTAGCTACCTATTGGGAGATGTGAAAGAACCATCCAAGGAGGACCAAATGTATACCAAGTGGGTTCAGGAGAATTACTTGGTTATGACATGGTTGTACAACTCTATGCAACCACATATCAACCGAAACTATTTGTGGGCAAAAACAACCAAGGAGATCTTGGATGTCATGAAAGAGACCTACTCCCAACCCCTTAATGTTGCTAGAGCCTATGAATTGAAGTGTGAGGTTAATAACCTCAAGCAAGGAGAGAAACCAGTCTCTGTTTACTTCTCTACTTTGAAGTCTCTGTGGTATGAAATTGACCATCTGGAAACACTTGAGTGGGAAAGTCAGAAAGATGTATAGACTCATAGAAAGCAGGTTGAGACTAATAGGGTGTTTGAATTCCTAGCTGGTCTGAATTTTGATTATGATATTGTGAGACAGCAGATACTAACAAGGGACAGTGTGTCCTTATCCCAAGCCTAATCCTTGGTGCATAGTGAAGAGACTAGGAGAAAGGTTATGATGCAGCATCAACCCTTCCCACCAGCCCTGGCAGCGGTTAAACCTAAGTCTGGGGGTGATATAGAAAGAGATATGAAGAAGGAAGATGAGCGGGATCTAGTGTGTGAACATTGCAAGAAACCCAAGCATACTAAAGACACATGTTGGAAACTGCACCCTCATATAGTCCTAGCAAAACTGAGGAACAAAAGGGGTAATGCTCATATGGCTGTTAATACCAATTCTGCATCCTCATCGGGCACAAAAGGCACGCCCCTAGACACCCTAGCTGCTGTTCGGGCTGCCCTAATACAGTTGGAAAAGGAGGTTGGGAATTCAACTCAGTCATCTCAGTCATCATCGGCTCCTGCTACATCAGCCTTTGCTCAGTCAGGTACTCGGGCCTCAGCTTACCATGCTTCAGCTCCAGGTAACACTGAACATTGTTGGGTRATAGACTCAGGTGCATCTGACCATATGACTAGCTTGCCGTCACTGTTCACTACCTATCACTTATCTTCTGGTAGAGATAAAGTGTCCATTGCTGATGTTTCCCTTGTTCCCATTTCTGGYAAGGGAGACATCAAGTTGTCTAATACCATTTCCTTATCCTCAGTCTTGCATGTCCCTAAGCTTGATACTAATTTGCTTTCAGTTAGTAGTATTACAAAACATCAGAACTGTTCAGTAACTTTCTTCCCTGACTGATGTGTTTTTCAGGACTTGGAGACAAGGAAGGTGATTGGGACTGGCCGTGAGACGAATGAGATCTATCTGCTTGGAGAGAGTTCTCATTGGAAAGATCATGAAGATAAGAATTCTTTTGTTTCTTAGTCTGTTAGTCCGGTTATGCTTTGGCATAATCGGTTAGGTCATTTATCATTTCGGTCTTTGAAGAGTYTGTTTCCTAATTTGTTTGAGTYWGTTCAAATGTCAAATTTGAGATGTGAGAGTTGTGATCCTACAAAGCATTGTAGAACATCTTATTCCTTGAGTAATAAAAAAAGTAGTAATTCTTTTGATGTTGTGCACACCGACGTTTGGGGTCCGTATCACATTCCTTCTATGGGGGGTATAGATATTTCTTGTTATTTGTTGATGACTATACTCGTTTTTCTTGGGTTTACCTTATGCGTTCTCGAGATGAGGTTCTTGTTTTGACCTAGACCTTTCATCAGATGATTTTAACCCAGTTCGGGGTCAAAATCAAAATCCTCAGATCTGATAATGCGAAAGAATACTTCACCAAGCCATTAGCCTCTTATCTGCTTGATCATGGGATTATTCACCAGAACACTTGTCCTTATACATCATAGCATAATGGGGTTGCTGAGAGGAAGAATAGGCACATTTTGGAGGTGGCTAGAAGCATTATGTTTACCTCCAATGTGCCTATCCGTTTCTGGGGCGATGCTATTCTCACAAGAGTGTATCTCATTAATCGGGTTCCTTCACGGGTTCTTGACATGAAGCCTCCGTTTACCCTTCTATACCCAGATGAAGAATTATTTACTGT